GCCAAGGGAATTCTGGAAGTCACCTAAGAAGAGAGAGACAAATCTGAGACATGAACTCAGTTCTCCTGGCCCCGAATATTTGCTTTTCTAACGTTTAAACACCATGTTTAAATCACTGTACGAGGCAATTGGAAATTTGAACACTGACTGGATAATTCAGGTATATTTAAAAATTATTGTTAATTATTTTAGGTGAGTAAACAGTAATGTGTATATGTGCTTTTTTTTTTTAAGATGTTATATTCTAGGGGTAGACACTGAAATGGTTATGGATGAAACGATAAGCTCTCTGGGATTTGCTTCAAAATTATACAGGTGGTAGGCAATTGGGATGGGCATAGATAAACAAGGTGGCACATGAGTTGGTCACCGAAGCTGGGTGGTGGACGTATAGGGGTACATCACACTATTATCTTTATTTTTGCATCCATCTTTGTATATGTAAAAGTTTAAAAATGAAATAATAAAAATAACATGTTTTACCCATGTACCTTTCCCAGACAAAGAACAGAGTGTGAGACCCTAATTTTGGGGTTTGCATCCACAGTTCACGCTGGGACACAACCTAGACAATCTCAAAATAGGGTGTGGGACAGACATCAAGACTGAGAGCACGCGAAATATTCAGCCACAAATGGGTCATCGTTGAGGGAAGCCAAAAAGCCCCTGGAAATGCAGGGAGCGTGTCACGGAGTCACCAAAAATAAGCCCAGGTTCTGACAGATGTCCCTTCTGAGAAAAGCGCAGCCACGCTCTCATCTTCAGTGGAGTCAGCACCCAAGGACCCCCAAAATAGCACCAACAATGCCCTGTCGGTGAGTCAAAGAATAACCAATGGCATTTTTAGTTCCTTTCTCTGCAGGCCCATCGTCCTTCCTTCGTGGTGCCTCCTCAGAAAGAAGTCTTCTCGGGGACAGTTGGTGGGCAAGTCAGGGGAGGCTCTTTAGGGGACGAGTCGACGATATCGGAATTGTAAAGTCACCTGTGGGAGTTCTCTTTCCGGGTCCTTTCCTGCAGCTGTATTCACGTGCAGATGTTTGCATGAGGATCTTCATGGCGGTCTTGTCTGCTAGAGAAAAAAAAGAAATCGTACACAAATTGACCTTCGTTCTTGGGAAATGGCAAAAGCGAACGTAGCCATATAATGGAACGCCATACGGCTGTTAACACGGTCGAGGTCTGTGTCAGCGTGCTGGTGTAGAAAGAAGTACAAGGTAAGTGGAGAAACACCAGGCACGGGGTTCGATCCTCTAGGCAGGAGGCTAGCTGTTTCTGGAAGGCATGTGGGTTTGTCCCTGAATGCAGCTGAGACTCCCTCTGAGCTGGGGGAAGGGAACCGCCAGAGCCAGCGTTCAGTCCCTCCTCGGCCGAACCACAAAGCCTGTGCCCCGTCCATCATGGCCTCTTTCTGTTGACACACTTGACCTTCTGCAATTCTGGTGGCATATGCGTGAGGAGGACTAGGCCACTCTCTGCTAGGCTCCCCGCTTCCTTGGCCCTGTATGCCCTGGAGCTCTTGCTAAAAGACACCCCACCTCTGGGGTCAGAAAGAGGCAGCAGAGCCTGTGCTCCTATGGAGAAGCAAAGACCATCTGGCCCCCCGAGACTTGGCATCTCGAGGTCTTCCACTGCAGCAGGGATGACGTGTCCTTTTATTTGTTTATTTATTTATTTTTTTCCCAGGGATTTCTTTGGGGATGAGATGGAGAAAGCCAGCACGAGGACTTTTCCACCTGCAGTCTTTGGCCTGTGAGGACCTCGTACGTGTCCCTTCAGTATGTTGGGGTAGAAGGGCACTCAAGGTAGAGCATTATGTGGAAAACACCAGACACGTGGCGTCGAAGCCTGCGGAGGCCAGCCCCTGGAGGGGCTCGTGCTCCTTTGTGTGTCTTCCTACCCCCCGCCCACCACCACCACCTTTTTTTTTTCAGGAGAGATTACATGAAGCTTAAAATCTCCGTAGAAGGTCCAAGAAAACACGGCAGAGGAAAATTGTTTTAGAGACATCACCACCTTTCTCCACAGATATGGAATCATGCCTACGGGATGTCTCGAATCAGGAGAGTCCCATGTTTTCAACTTCTGGAAGTCAACGTTGGGTCTCTGAGATTGACCCGTCTCTTCCGTCCCACTCGGTGTGCCGTTATTTAAATTTAAAGCAGGTTCAAATGTGGAGGGAAGGTGATGGCGGTGTGGGCTTCCACAGGGATTTGCTGAGGACCAGGTGAAAAAATCTTGCACACACACGGGCTGAAAACAAGTTCGGAAATCAGGCCGAGGCCCCAGGGCTACTGTGGTCAGCGTGGGGTTCCAGCCACGAGTCCGAGTCTGCTCAGTCTCTTTGCTCTTGAGGTCCCTGTCACCAGCGTGTGGAGGTGGTAAGTTATTCAGTAAGAGCCCTGCCCGGGTAGAGAAGCCTTCCTTCACCCGAATCGATTATGCTAGGCCTTCAAGTCTTTGCAGAGAGAGACCTCAAGGCAAGGATCTTAACCTTGACTGGAGCAGAGGAGACAGAACTGGCTTCCAAATTGCTATGCTGACAGGCCAGCAGGTGGGAGGGAAATCTCCGGCTGAGATGACTCCTCTCCCCGTCCACCCTCTCTCCTCCTGTGGTACAAGCCATCCGACGATGGGTGGAATCACAAATGGTGGCCTTCAGCGGTCCGGGTTCCTTAACTTTCACTCTAAGTAATGATTTCCTGTCACTTCGTTCCCCGCTCTGAACCCTCACATTTCAGAGAGTGACGAACTGGGCATCATATTCAATAGAGATCTGACTAATGTAGATTGCAACCTAATGATCGCTTCCCGGGCTTTGCATGTCATCCTTCTATAAATATATCGCAGTGTCACGTTGGCTTTTGGGCAGCAGCACTCCATGGCTACCTCCCTCCATCTGTGGTCAGCCATGCCGGTAGCGT